TATGTATTATATATTTGTTCATTTGTGCATTTATATATATTTTTATTCAATATCTATCCTTCCATGCACATTATAGCGGACCTACTGCGTGTTCTGACTAGGAGCCATTTGGTCACGCCACGGATAATCGATTATGTGGTGCACCGCTCCGCAGATATGATCGCCTCCGCCCAGAACCTCCTTTTAAGTCCGACCAATCAGATCGACGCTATTAATAGCAATTGGCTCATGCGTGCTGAAAATCCGAAGCCGGACCCAGTAAAAGACCCCTTTAATTATGTGATGGGCCCATTCGCGGCGGTGCACGTATGCAAGGCGCTTGTGTGGGTGTGTCGCGAGTTGCACAAAGACTTATATCGTGTACAGACCGGAAGGGCTTCCTGGTATCAATACAGAAAGTCACCGCCAACCCGTACTGTTTCGTCGGGATCTGAATACGTAAATGATGATCATATACGTACCGATGAGAATTGTCATCTCCAAGCAGAAACACACTACGAAGCGACTCGGCGCATACTGATGAACCGAAAACTTTCCCCGAGAGAACGGAGACGGAAGAAGGACAAGGTGGTCATTGAACGTCAGGAGATGGTTATACAAGGGTATGCCGAGGAACTCAGTCTGGCCAAATCCAGCACACGTACCATGGTCAACCTCACCACAGACTACGTTCTCAGCTGCCTGGAGACTCAGTCGACCCACACCCACGCTCAGCTGGGTGCACACGTGCGCACAGGCACACAAGCACCCCACACGCTCCTGGAGGGTAAGGCAGGCCGGGCTATAGGGGCGTGGGAGGTGTCTTTGCTAGTTAAGTGTATGGGCCAGACCGGCAGTATGACGGAGTATCAACTGAAGCAGCTGACACACGTGTTTGCCACTCATATGCACTCGTTTAATCTGAGGTTTCTGGCCAAGACATCACGATGGCTGGTGGCCGCGTGCCTGAAGGGCGGATACGAAATACCGTTGGTGTGTTGTTTCGCTCAATGTGACTGTTGTGGGTTGGTATACGTATTCTGTTTATGTAGTGTGGCATGTGTATGGCAAGAATCGCTCAGTGCGACTGTTGTGGGGTTGTATACGTATTCTGTTCATGTATTGTGGCATGTGTATGGCATGGCAAGAATCGCTCAGTGCGACTGTTATGGGTTTGTAGACGTATTCTGTTTACGTATTGTGGCATGTGTATGGCAAGAATCGCTCAGTGCGACTGTTATGGGTTTGTAGACGTATTCTGTTTACGTATTGTGGCATGTGTATGGCAAGAATCGCTCAGTGCGACTGTTATGGGTTTGTATACGTATTCTGTTTATGTATTGTGGCATGTGTATCGCAAGAACGCGTGAGATATATATGAGTTGGTAGTACATTGTAATCCATTCCGAACTCGGGTGTCTGATTTGTAGTCTTGGGATGGCTGGTTGCATCGTGTCTGAAGGGTGGACCAAGGATATATATATATATATATATATATATATATATATGTAATGTTTATATTGTTTCTAGTGCAGAATAAGTTCGTCTAATACATGACCTGTTTGTCGCTATTCTGCACTCCTTCAACATGCTCGATCGTTCTATAACTCCATGTTATATTGATACTGATAAAAATCCATATTATTTGCAAACATCCTTTTTACATGAACATTCATGCTGAAAAATATAAACATTTTTTTTGCCACGTAGCCTCTATATGAAGACATACTGTTCCGGGTGTACCACAACCACCTGTCGGAATTGGAGCATTGGCACTTGCGTGGTTTCGATTTTGCCTTCAGGCATACCAAACTGAGAGGAGAGCTGATAACAAAGTACATAGAGGCATCCAAAAAGGTACGTATTGTATTCTCAAAACTGGTCATAATATATATATATATATATATACATACATACATACATACATACATACATACATACATGCATACATACATACATACATACATACACACATACATATATATATATATATATATATATATTATA